TGGGACATCAAGTTTGTACAGAACTGATGGAAATGCAGCTTATTGATTTTTTGCTTGCAATTGCTTGATTTTTGGCACATTTCATTTGTTCCCTTGAATTTAAATCAACAGCTGGGTGGAAACCTGGCTAGTGTCAGGTTAACTACCTAAGAGCATGTGGAGAAACCACTGAGAGGAACCAAGACTCAAAAGAGGAACCATCGCTTCATGTCATCCAAAAGAAAATCTTTCTCTCGCACCACTGAGAACTGCTAAACAAGGCGAGCCGGTGATGATGTAGCCACTGACCTGAGCAGCGTGAGGACCACTTCATCATCCTCCAGTGGCACCCGCACCCCCCAATGTGCTGAAGCCTTGCCAAAAGAGTAGAGGAAGGATGCCAATCGGCAGGCACTACCAACACAAACATGTTCAAGGACACCATCAGTCAGTGAAGAGAAGGTGCCCTTCAAGGGGACAGGACAGGGGCCCTCTTGCTCTGGGACAACACAAACATACGGTGCTACTGCGATGTAATAGTGTCTAGTATCTCTTCTGAATACAATAACAGTAGTACAGTGTGGTTGTTCAGCAGTGCAGGCAACTATTAAACTTGTCATTACTCTACAAAGTACAAAAACAACAGATAACAAAAATTATGCATTGAATTCACTTTAAACTTAAATGTGTTCATTTCCAGATGAGTAAAATTTATTACCTCAATTATTCCCAAAAGTACACAAAGCTAAGTTAGTTAGTAGGTGAAGTAGTTAATTAATTAGTAAATTAGTAAGTAGATAATTAGTTAGTGAATGAATTAGTGAGTTAAGCAGTGTGTGAGATAGTGAGTGAGTTAATAAGCAAGTTAGTGAGTGAGTTGATGTGTTAGTTAGCTAAACAGTGAGTGGGCTTATTAGATAATGAGTTACTGAGTTAGTTATTAAGTTAGATAGTGAGTGAGTTATTTAGGTAATAGGTTAGTTAGCGAGTTAGTGAGTTAGCTAGCTAGTCTGTTAATGAGTTCATGAGTTAAGTAGTTAGTTAGTTTATTAGTTAGTTAGTCAGTTAGTGAGTGACTTAAATACTGACTTACCCAAGTAGTGAGTTAAATAAGTAGTGAGTTAGCTAGACAGTGAGTGAGTATTTTAGTTAATGACTTAGTTACTGAGTTCATTAGTTAGTGAGTGCTGTTAACTGGTTAATGAGTGAGTTATTTAGATAATAGGTTAGCTAGCTAGTCAGTGAGTTAATTAGTGAGTTAGCTAGCTATTTTGTTACTGAATGAGTTAAGTATTTAGTTAGTGAGTGACTTAAATAGTGAGTTAGCCAACTAGTCAGTCAGTTAGTGAGTTAGCCAGTTAGTGAAGGAGTTAATTGGTTAGTGAGCAAGTGAATTAGGCAATTAGTTAGTGAGTGTAAACTAGTTAGCTAATTAGTTAGCAAGTTAGTTAGCTAGTGAGAAGGTGTTTTGCATCTAAAAAGCATTCACAGTACATCCTGTGTAAAGCCACTCATCTGCAACTGTCCTGAAAAAATTACATTCACTGCCTGCCCACAAAAGCTGGAGCTGAGCACAGGAGGACAGGAGGAAGCTGAAGTGAAGGTGTGTGAGGAGCAGTGGTGGTGGTGCGGGGGCTCCGTGGCTGGGGTGAAGGGTAGCTGCCTGACCGCCAGCCCCGGTCCTCAGTCAGAGCGGGACCCCCACGGTGCTGGCCCCAGTCCAACGAGCCTGGTCTCACCCCACACTGGGCTGGGACTCCTCTCTGATCCACTGCTATTCTGGGCCCGGCTGCTTTCGGCCGTGAGATTCCCCTCACGGGGGAGGACATGGGCCGTCCTTCATATTCATCAGCCCTCACCATTGTCTCTCAATGCGATCTGGACCAGCTGTAGGCCAAGCAGCTGACACACACACACTCACTAGGTCACCTTCAGTGTGATTTGTATGTATTAAAACAGTGATTGTAGAATTAGTAGACCTACTACTTCTGTGTTCTTTGTGTGGGCGTAAATACAAACGTTGCCAGGGGATTTCCCCTTCAATACCACTCTTATAGACTATAGGCTACCTTTGGATAGCGTAGGCAGGAGTTCATACAAGGTTAGTTTCTAGAAACTTTGAAGGCAGTAATTATGGTTAAATGGAGTGTGTGGCTTCAGCAACAGTGGTGCTAATAGAGCTCACTGCTGTGGCAGAGAACTACGTTATACAAATGTTGGCCTGTAATGTAATGTTATCATTTAAACTAAGATCTGTTAAGTTCAGTTGACATGAAATTTATAATATCGAATTAAATTACTTAGCAGTCACTGATGTGTTTTTTACACAGTGTCTGCATTCCTATTGATTATAGTCAGGAAAGAAAAAAATACAGAACACTGTACTTAAGTGAAAGTATGAGTTCTTTTTCAAAATTGTACTCAGTTGAAAAAATACACTTGAGTAAAAGATAAAAAGTATCTGCATCTCAAGGGCCCAGTCCTACATTCTTCATGTATTTCATTTTTTTTCCCTGAGGTCCATTTTTGACAGTTATGTCAGTTCATGTGCCAAAAACAGATTTAATTCATTTTTATATCAACATTTTCCAACCTTTCTTTATTCTTTATTAATAAACAGGCTGTTTTGGTATCGTGCCTTTAAGACTGATATATGTAAATGACCCCTGTTCTGATTGGCTGCCCTGTTTAATATCTCATGCAAAAAGCAGTTTGGACAGAAACTTCTTATAACTGCAGTGTGAACAGGTGGTGCTAAACTGCTGTGGGCTGAATATATGCATATATGTAAATGCATTTTTTGTGACATCACAGAAACAGTGAATTAAAAATGGGGCATTGTTGCAGCTTATGTTCCATGTTTGGACTGTGGAGTGAATGGTACATCTTGAAACTTTAACAGTGCTTACATATTACATCAAATTCTTTTAATTCAGCAAAAGTAAAGAAAATTTACTTTTAAACTTTTTTTTTAACTTTTAAAGGCCTTTTAAACACACCTAAACGTCTAAACATTTATCTGTTTTAACCGATAAAATGATGAGTCTTTTATGGTGTGTGATGCAGTGGTGTGTGATGTGTTGAGTAATGGGTATAGTAATTCTTGTGGACAGAAGACTTGCTTATAGAAGAGTTCATATGAATGAACTCTTCTAAAATAATTCCTGATATTATCAGTAACAATAGTATTAGGTATAGAAATAAAATCTCTCGCAAGTATTTTCTACTTCTGATTGTAGTATGAACAATAATGGTAAGATAATACCCTTACTGGTCATTCTACTCCAGTCTGACACTGTGTCCCGAGGAACTAGTTAAAGAGCTTCATATATTTAAAGTGGAATTCCACAGATCTAATCATTTTAAAATGTAAACAAAGTCATTCAGAGTGGTCTGATGTGAAATAGTTAATTGGAGAGAAACTTAATGACTCAGATTTATTTACAGTGGTGGTGATAGGAACCAGATGTCTAAAGCACTTAATGCCTCTAAAAGCTCCCTCAGAGAAAGTTATTACATGCAAACCGTAACAGATACATTGACTGATGCTCAAGAAATTGTCCAAGATCTGGTTTTAGTCTTTCTTTTTTTACATGCAGGGCATTGTTTGGCAAACATGCAGGGCATTTACTAACATTATCATCATTGTATATAAAAATTCATGTAGGTTCCCCGGTTGTTTTGGATAGTAAATAAAATGGCTGTATTTGAGTTGTAGACAGTGCAACCCCTCAAAGTGTGTTTGAAGGGTGTGTTAGAAACCCAAAAGATGTGCAGAGCATCATCTTGAAACAGGGAGTAGAAGACACTGGCATAATCCATTTAGTTTACATATGTAGATGTTGCAGGAGCCTGCAATGCGCCACATTCACCACCAGAGAGCAGTAAAAGCGCTCAGCTTTCCGACTCCTGTCACTTGCACACAAAATAAATCATCACACAGAACAGAGACGGGCTGGAGTTCTGGTACATGAATTTGAAACTCAAAATACTACAAATATTACAAATAGAAAGTAAGGTGAGGTTGTGATGGCTGACCCTTTTCTGTCCTGAATGTGGCAAAATCTGAGACTGACTGTTAATAAATATTTAAAATATTTACATGATCAGTAAACTTTACATGATCAGTAATGTCCTTTATTATTGTTTTGCCACAAGTTGCCTTGTCAGATTATATTACACTGCCGGGCAGATAACATTACATGAAAATAAGACACATAAATAAAACACATCCTCTATACAGATTTAATACATTTCATATACATTTTAAACGCACAATTACTGTAGAGGTTGGCGATATGGCAAAAATATAACATCACACATCCAAGACATTTTTACAATACACAATCACGCTCATTTGTATTTTTGAGGTTTGATAAATTAGAGCAAGGAAAAAACACCAGCAGTGCCATATTTAAACAATAATAAAATGTGGCCTGTTCAAATGTTATGGCACATTTTATATTTTGTGCTTTTTCAAAAAATTTAAACTCATATAATAAACTCATATTGTGCACTAAAATTTGCAGAAAAAAATGCCACATTTGTTATGTAGTGTGGATGTGGTATGTTGTTTGGATATCGACTATTTTTAGGGCTGATCAAATTAACAATATCCTCAGCAGTAGACATGTTTGCAACTAATAAGTTCAGCATCAGTGTTGTACTGGACCTATGGAGACTGTGGGAGCGGCAGTGGACGAAAACAGGAAATATTGATAATTTGTGGAACTTCATTTAAATGATGAACGAATTTTTCATGAAACGTATAAACCAAAGACCTGCGTAAAGAAAAGTGCCAACAGTAACAGTGAGGAACAGTGTGAATTGATTTTTTTTTTCCATGTGCCTTATCATGTATTGTAAAGGAATACCTTACTGAACACATTTAGCACAGTGTATTCACGCTTCAGCCATCACTACTCCACAGTGCTCTCTGGCCAGCACTGTGTACACTGTAAGGGTAGGAACTGAATAAACGCGTCAGTCTGCTCCACCTCCGCAGAGGCGCACACGACTCCCTTTTAGGGACATTTATCGCTCGATGTTTTAAACAGTCGTGCAGATTTTCAACCACTCACAAATCACAGTTTCTTTAGTTAAGATTAAGTTTAATATATTGGTATAAATGTCCATAAAATTAGCGAATATTAATCGTTTTCGACATTAATAGTGAATCTGGCGTCACCGTGTCCCCCTGCGGTGAAACGTTTTGGTTCAGTCCGGCGCTGTGCTGTATGCGCGGGAGGAGAGAAGCGTGTTTAAGCTGCTAAAGAAGAGCATTAAAACTCCGGTAAGACCCAGTTAAAATTTAGATTTGAAAGATTAAAAACGATTAAACCTGATGAATGGTCGGAGAGCTTGTCTGAATGGTGAATTGGCTGTGTATTTGCATTCTGTACCTTGGTGTCAGACTCTCAGGTCACAGGTAGCAAGTTAGCATTGGGGCTGCAAAATAAACCCAGCTAACGTTACTGTTTCCTAGCCCTGGTTTTCTCTTCTTTAACGGAATTTTACAAACATTTTATTGTTCAACTTTCTTTGCTCGAGTTATTGCAAAAGAATGAGGAGGGTGTCTGGGCCACAGTGCTGTTTGCTTTTGTGAAGGGGGAGGAGGGGAAGCAGGAAAAGTGCAGCAAAAACACGATTAAACTCACTGTTTGCACGCTGAACTCACCGAATGAGTGAACAGACTTCTCTGCAGTGCTGTTTAAAACGGCCCCTCTAAATTAAAGCAGTTCTTCTGCAGGTTGGGTTTCTGGGGGCATGAAGAGCCTTTGCTTTGTGTTAAACTATAATCTTTTTTTTCTGTTGCAGTGAGCTTCCTTTCATCCACGTTGATAAATATGGCACGAGATTACAAACCTGGAGATCTCATCTTCGCCAAGATGAAGGGCTATCCTCACTGGCCAGCGAGGGTGAGCTGCTGTCCACTCCTTAAAAGAATGACTCACCAAAAAATTAAATGTACACAATTACCCTAAGCATAGTCGTACAGCCAAAACACAGTCTGTAGTTTTACATGTAGCTTAAAAAATAATGTAAGTTTACTGCATTAGGCTGCTACAGCCTCATAGCTCCAGTGCAAAACAAAAGAAGAAAACATGACTAAGCTACATTTCGAGGTAGGGGTGAAATTGTAGATTTTTTATTAGTTTTTTCAGTGAAACATTTCTGTGACAAGTTACTGGAGAATGGAGATGATGTTAGATTGGCTTTAAAGGGGAATTACTCAGATTTCAGCATAATTGAATGATGTAATATGTAAGTCATTCACAGTGTTTTGTTATGAAATGCTACGTTCTGAAGAGACATGGCGAATCAAAATTGTTTGCCATGGCATTGATAAAAACCAAATGTTGGAAGAGTGTATTTCCTCTAAAATCTCCTTCATTGCATGAAATCGTTTTGCATACACTGCCTGATGCTGAAGACATTGTGTTATGGTAGTTTTACAATATGGTTCTGGCCTAAATGTGATGCTTCAGTCCATTAATGGTGGTGAGGTTGCAAGGCAAAATACATTTTTTTCAGATTTTCCATTATTTTACTATTATCAACATTTATACATAAAACTCAGAAGACTCATTCTTACATAACCACTGAACTATGCAGGATTTTGTGGTGGGGGAGAAAGGGTGGAATTACCCTTAACATGATCTATTAAGTGATTTCAGGTTTGGTTTTAACAAAACTTTACATTGCTTATGTATGTGCTATGTTTATATGAGTTCATCTTCTTGTAATGCCACTCTTTTTTGTCTGTTACTTCAATTCCTTATTAGATCGACGAAGTGCCAGATGGTGCTGTGAAGCCGTCCAATATTAAGTTCCCCATCTTCTTCTTTGGAACTCATGAGACGTAAGTATACAGGACATGGCTTTGTTTGTATTGCATTGTTAAATCAACTTTGTTCAGAGTTTCTTTCCCATGTTTCAGTTCTGCATAGTTGGAGATCAGAAACAGTACTGACAAAACAGCTGAAAGTTAAAGATGGAGCTCCAGGTTTTGCACTATAGATCCAAAAGAATCCAAACAGTTCTTCTAATGAGGGAGTTCAGCTACTGTAAGGGTCACCTATTGCTGACATAGGTGTTCAACTGTACTCCTTCCAATATCTTTGGGATGGAGTGGCTTTTGTGATCTAAAACTAATCATCCAACATCAGTACCTGACCTCACTAATGCTCTTGTGGCTGAATGCAATCAGATCGTCATAGCAATGTTCCAACATTTAGTATAAAACCCTCCCAAAAAAGTAGAGGCTGTTACTATAGCAAAGGAGGACAGACCCCCTAATAATACCCTTGATTTCAGAAGAAACGCTGGAATAGCAGGTGTTCTCAAACTTTTGGACGTATAGGACAGGCTTCCCCAACAGATATTAAGGCTATTTATAGAGTGTATTTTCCTTTCAATGGAAAATCACCATACAAAATCCTGTGTAGTGCAGGGCTAAGCTTTATCCCTGTCAGTGAAACAGCACCATTGTCATCATCAGTCTGTTGTGCTTTATGAATGCCTGACTGAGTTGTTAACACCTAAAAACACCTTATTCTGCATAATTGTGTTAATGCTTTCATTATTTCAGAGCATTTTTGGGTCCCAAAGACATCTTCCCTTATTTACCAAACAAAGAGAAATATGGTAAACCCAACAAAAGAAAAGGCTTCAATGAAGGGCTGTGGGAGATTGAAAACAACCCTAAAGTGGAACTTAATGGACAGAAGGTACAGTATATTTTTATACATACCTCTGATATCACAAGACAATCAGTAAAATGGTGTTTACTGCAGTTATGTAATTACGTGCATTTTCTCGGCATCCTTGAAAAATTGTGTGTATAAAATTTGAATGTATTCAAATATTTGACAAGGATATGTCAAAATCAATGAATGAGCCCAGATGACAGATGATTTGTGTAATCTTGGTGGGAAAATTTGTAAATAAAATTTTTTGCTTGACTACTGCTTTAAACTGTGCTGTGGCAGTCCAGGACTGGAACTGATTTAGATCCTTCTTTCCCATACAGTCCGTGCACTAATATACCCAACCTGAGCCTGAAGGATAAATCTGCAGCATTTCTTTGTATGGTCGTATGTGCACTGCCTAGATGCCTGTATCTGGTTATTTTGCTTGTTTATTTATTAATTTATTTCGTCATCCAGGTGATGGCAGTGGAAGCAGTTTCTGATAAAGATTCAGACAGCAGCCCTGAGGGGGATGACGAGGGAAATGAAAAGACTCAGGAGAAGAGGAAAAAGTCCACTAAAGTATGCTTCTTTCACTCACTGAGGAACTCTGTGTGTGTATAGCAGGGGTTCCTTTTCCTCAGTCAACCAGCCAGTACACTTTTTGCTTTTCTATCATCCAACAGTAACATTTTGCTCTGCCAAAAGTCAGCCAGCTCTCAGCTGTGTTGGATGTTGGAACAGTGCAAAGCATGTCCTGACTGGTGGCCCATGGGTTGGAAACCCCAAGCTGTGGTACTTCTGTTGGGATACGTCCATCGGTATCTGGATATCCAGCAGATGTTCTGTACCTGCAGTTTCAGGGCATGATGTGGCTTGTGATGTCTTGTGTTAGCAAAACACTTAGGTAGCTGGTGGGTTTTATCACTCGACATGGCCAAGAACTACCTTCCTTAACACAAAGGGCCATTTGACTTGCATGCCTTGAAACTACAGGTGTGCAACCACTGCTTGCTGTCCAGGTCTCTAGATGGATGATGTCCCTGTTTGTTGCTGTAAACGCCTACACGGAGCTCCTTGACGGAATGATGCATTCTGGGCCCTGAGAGTGAGGTGGGCCTGTTGATTTAACTCCTGCACCGTGGGGCCCTGTTTGTTTGGACTTGTACAGGTGGCTGGAGGTGAGGCAGGGGAGGAGGAGGAGGAGGAGGAGGAGGAGGAGGAGGAGGAGGAGGAAGGTGATGGCATGGAGGTGTCTGAACAGGGCCCTCTTGTGGAGGAAGTATGTACTACTGACGTCTGCATGGGGAGCTGTGACTCTGCAGTGTTTTTATTTCTTTATTCATTTTTCCATCATTTCAAGATAAGGAAGCTGCATGTGACACTTGGTGAGGGGGAATTATCAGCTGTGAGATTTGCCTGGGTGGCACTTGTGTTGATTCTAAGCCCCTAGGTTAGTATGGTGAGGGTTGCTTCTGTCAGTTTTCTTCTGTTGCTGGTCTCTGGCTTCGGATTTGGGGCAGTGCTTCCCTGCTGCAGAGAAAAATGACTAGGTACAGACAGACCTGTTCGCCTCTCCTTACTCAGATCACTCAATATCTCCTTGCACATATCTATTGTTATTAGGGACGCATCGATACAGAATTTCTGAGCCAACACGACAACTAGTTAATACATTTTAGGCCTAAAAAACAAATCTAATTATTGTTTCTAACTTTCGCTCTGTTCCTGTGTCAAACCTTTAAAAATAATAACAATTACATTTTCTTGTTTCTCATATTTGGCACATAATGAATTAGCCACCAATATATCAACCACCCTTGATTGTTATAGCTTAAAATTGTCATGTTTGAGCTCTGTTAGTTGTGCATGATCAGTGAGGTGTTTATTTAGTCATTCTTTTTTTGTTTGTTTTTTGTTTTTGTTCTTTGCACGATTATCATTCTCGAAATTGTCCCAATCATAGTCTGACTGTAACGGTCAATACCTGGAATCAGTGGACTAATTGCAGAAAAGGGAAGAATTGCATGCTCTTCCCCACAGTCCCATTCCTCATTCATCCTTACTCTTTCAAACCCATTAGAATGTACCAGTCATACATTTTTTTCATAAATATAATGTCAGTCATTTGTTTATTTTGGACCTTTTGTAAGGTTTTCCTGTTTTTAACATCATGTACATCTGAGCTATTTCACCCAAAACTCTGTTTTCACTTTTTGTTTCTTTTCTAAAAAGGTAAGTTATAAAAATCAAGCTAAAGTTTTAATATAGGGGAGCGCTGGGCACAACCTAATCCAGAGTAAAATGTAACACAGATTTTTAAATGTAGTTAACATCATTAAATGTACTTTTGGTTATCGACTTGTATTTCCGTAGTAAACTTTTGTTTTTGTTTTTGTACCATGAAAGTAACTTTTTTTTTATTGCAAGTGTTCTTCAGTTATTGACTTGTGTGTAAGTCACAGAAGTCCCATATTATTTTAATTACCTGTTGTTGGCTTAAATAAATTACAATTTTAAAGCAGATACACTCTTATAGGTGAGAGCTAGCCAAACAGAAATACAGCCTCCACACAGCAGGATTAGTTTTAAAACACTGTTACAATCAAAATCCCCAAAGTCAACAATGACAGAACACTATATCCCCCCAGTATCAATTTAGAACACTTTATTTATTTGGAACTTCTTTTATTCACAGGTTCCTCAGAAATGTACTGTAGAAGTTATGTAAAAAAAAAATCAGTTTTACCAGACCTTTTTAGCAGCTATTACTGCTCAGTCTGTTACAGCCCCTCAAATTGTTAGTCTCTCCTATGGGGTTAGTTGTAACAGTTCTGCTCACGCTACTTCCAGCTGTGTTGTCCACAAACAGTAGGTGCTGAAAACAAATTTTGTGTAGATTACTTGTAATAAAGAAAAGTATTAGTCTTTCTCAAATCTTTTAAAAATTGTTTAGCAAAAACCAAAGTGTGTCGTGCCTCACTCTCCCCTATATCACAAAACTTCAGAATCTGCTCTAACAGTATAAAACTTAAAAAATCTTATTCAAACCAATCGTTGCTCTGCAAACTCATAATAAAACTGAAGGCTGGTGAATTTTGGAATGCCTTCTGTGATTGGATCAGGCCCCTTTAGACAGGATTTTTTAATAAATGCCTAAACCATCATCAAGTTGCCTTGCTGTTCTTCATTTAAAAAACAAATATCCAAAGTGGTGGAAAATTAGTGGAAGACTTTTTGTGTGGGGATAATCAAGGGTTGAGAACAGGTTTGAATATGATTGGTTTCAGACTTTTTGGGAGCAAGCAGATCACGCTGCTGACAGGCTGATATTCAGGCTATGACTGTTGGCCCACTGATGTCTCTGACTGTGTTATACTGTTTTAATAGAGGTTTATTTCATTACTCCCAGGACTCTACGCAGAAAGACTCGACAGATGGTGCCAAAGCTAAAAGAGGAAGGAAGAAAAAGGTAAGAATTTGGTTTCAGTTCATATTTAGTACTTTTATGGTATTAAGCAAATGACTTAAATATTATCAAGTTACAAAAGATTGCACAATTTAGTACTAAATTTCAGTATCTAAGTAGTCAGTCTTATCAGCGTCAGTGAGCCATTTCTTTATTTATTTATTTTATTATTATTTATTTTTTTTAAAACAAAGGTTAAAAAAAGGTATTCAAAAGTATTGTTCAGGAGTTGATTTCAAAGCAAAGGTATTGGTATCAAAAACGTTTAAACAATACAGAGCCCTAATTGCAATGTTTTAGGGTTTTATGACAAACAATGCAATATGTAAAAACAACAAAAAATAAGTAAAAAATATAGATGGATGACCTTTTCCCAAAATAAGCTAATTATCGCTCTAGCAGTGGAAAGGTTGTGTTTAGAGGGGAATTGATGCAGTAGTTTAGTATTCTGGTTAGGGCTACGCAATATGGCAAAATACCTTATTACATATTGCAGCTGTTTGGCCGTGTATTGCAGATGCATTTGCAGCATTATTAATAAATGTTTATATTGTGCAGTCCTACTGCTGGAATGAGTTAAATCATTAAAATGTTCCAAAAATCATTAGAATTTTCAGAGACAATCTGGCACAGAACATCCTGGCAGGAATATGATTATAGAGTTTGGGCTCCAGACCTGCAAATTGGGGAAAAAAAAAATAAGTCGCCTGTCACAAACAGTATTTCACCACATCTGTTTTTTTGTTTGTTTTTTGTTTTTTTTTTTGTGTGTGTTTTGTTTTGTGTTTTTCAGAGTGAAGTTGAGCAGGACTCAGAGAAAGAGGATGGCGTGGCTAGTTCCACCTCCAGCCCTATAGGTCAGACTTGTTCAGTTTAAAAAGCATCAGTAAAGCTTTTTTAATGGTGTATTAACTAGTATTAGATTTATGTCTTCTGTTCTTGGCTAGAGGTATTCATTTTAGAGATCAGATGAGATTACTGGTCATTTAAAGTAACCGTAACTTTGTTCAGCTACAGTACAAATGGAAAGAACAAGTTTTTCTGCACCAACAGACCTTTAAGAAAAAAAATCACACTGTTCACATTACTTGAAATGGCACAAATTTTGTTTTTTACCTGATGTGTTACAGAACTGTTTTCAGAGCCTTTTGAATACACACATCTTTTCAAATTACATCTGAGCTACTTTCGTATGTGATCAGATACGCATCAAATATATACATATTTCACCGTCTCCCTTAATCATACACAGCTGAAAGCTAATCTGAGCTACTGATCCTTGTATGAAGGTTTGTGTTGCTAGTTCATACATTTGTTGTTCACGTTGCTTATAGATTAGGAGGACTATATGGCAAAAATATTATGTTATGATACTTAATGACATTTTCACTATACATCATATGTATGACAATATTTTGACACAGACACAGAGCAGTAGTGCCACATTTAGAAATTGCAGATGGTCAGTGTTCTTCGCACACTGATGATATCCACGCTACACTCTGAAAAGAATCCTGACATGTAATTTGTAATGATAGCGATAAAATATCACTATATTGCCCACCTCTTACATTGGTCATTCGCAGGTCATTATTTATTAAGATGTACACATGCAGGTGATTTCAGATGTGTTCGCATTAATGACAGATAGGGGTCGTTTACACCCACAAACAGGAACCGTTAAAAGTGAATTCCAATAACTTTAAAATGTTTAAATCTTAACAATTTAATTATGCAGAAATTCTAAATAATCAGTGGATTTTCCCATAAGGCTAAAAGTTCAAATCTGAGCAAAAAATCAGAATTGAACAATAAGGTTTGTATGTACTTTAACTCCCAGTTTAGCGATAGACATCTCAGCATTGCTGTGCTAAACATCTTTTGATTGTTTTGAGTATTGACACAAAATTGAGTGTCGATATTGTGCATATTCAGTGTATGTGTGTGTTTCCTCTCTCAGGTGGGGAAGCACCAGCTCCAAAACGGAGAGGCCGGAAGCCCAAAGCTGAAAAAATGCTTTTGCTGCAACAACAGGCTTCACATGGGTCAGCTAATGACATGTGAGAGTGTGTGTTTTTGTGTTTGTCTGTGGTTCAGTTCAGAAATTCATCTGACTAATGCTTCATTACACTAGTAGAAAACCAAGTTTACATGTTTTCCCCCCTGAAAAGTGTGTCTGAATCTGGTGTTTGTGTGTTTAGGTTTTTGGTCTTAAGTTACAAAGCTAATGTAACTAAACGGACAAAAGTGCAGACAAAATTCAGGCTTCAAGACTGCTGCTACTACTGCTGTTTTCAGCTCTGTGAATGTACTTTTGTCCATGTCTGTATGTAACAGTATGTCATACTGTGTCAGAAACCTCATAAGCAAGTCTATTCGGAATCAGAATCTTTATTCGCCAAGTACCAGATGTACAAGGACTTTCGCTTGGTGCAGGTGTCAAAATAAAATGAAATCCAATGATATAAATATAGAAAAAGATTGTAGCACTGCCTGGGCTTAGGAAAGATGCTGGAGGCAGGGTTGAAAGTCACAGCGGTCATTTAACTTTATTTCTCTCTCCAAACAAACACAAAGTCTCAGCAAATCAAAGCTGGCCACTTTTCCGTGGCTTCAAAACTTTTCAGTCCTTTTCTCCAAACCCAAGCTTTTCAGCTCTTCAATTTTTCTACTGCTGCTCGTTCCTCTCTCCCTCTCTGTTCCCTCTCTGCTCTTTTTAAAGGTGCCCACACTGCTGTCGTCAGATCAGCATCAGCTGGCTCTAATTAATTAAGGGTAGCGAGAGCACTTGAGCAGGGAGGGAACGAGAGCTTGTTGCTCCACCTCCATCACCGCCCATGCTCTCTAGCTTGTCCAGCGGGAACGAATGTGAGGCAAATTAAAGTGGCCTCACCACGGTGCCCAGGAGATGGGGCTTGGGACTCGGGTGCTGTCCCCTACTCCCTCGCAGATTCCGTCCTCTTCTGGCTGTCTTTGTATGGTTTCGTCTGGGCTCAGACTTCGGGCCCCACCCTTGCTGCAAGCTCACATGACCGGCATCGGGGCCCTGAGGACGGGCGCATGCCACAAAGATATGCTCTCTAAACGAGTAAATAGATAGTACACAAACAGTTTGTAATATAAAGCATGTGCAGTGGGAGTTGAGAATAGTCAAATACTGAAGTACATATAAACAGTGTGTACAGCTAAAATTGAGCACCTAATATATATGTAAATATATTTATAAAAAATGTGTATTGCAAGAAATGGAAGTGCATACGTTCACTGACTACAGTAAAGTGGAAAAGGTTCTTGTCCAGAAGAATTATGGCGTGGGATATACAGTGTTTATGTACTTCACGTTGTGTTTAATAAACTAGTAATGGATGAGTAAAGGTCTGAGGGTGAGGGTGGAGAGACGACAGCTGATTATTTTCTCGCACATCACACTGTACGCTGTAGCTTACGCTTGGCATGTGAACATGCAGAGCCAAACCAGACGGACAAGGAGGATGTGGTGATGGACTCTGTCATGGCAGTGTAGAACTGGACAAGCAGTGCTTGATGCAGCTGTCTCATGAAGTACAAGTGCTTACTAAAGAGATTACTTAACAATCCCACTTGGTTTGAAGTAAGGCTGTGATGATTTAGACATGCGGTTAGCACCATGCGTGTTGGTGGAGTATAAGCTTCCATTACTTGTTTGCTACATTAGCCTCATAGCTCCAGTGCTGAACTAAAGAAGTGAACTTCAGACACCAAATATTCTTCTCAGGCTGTGAGCTGTCACAGACAACCTAGCATTTACAGATTCTTTTTGAAATTTTGAATCTTGTAGTGTGAGCACCTCGACAAGAAGTAGCAGGAACAGATGAGCAGCAGCCAATAAGAGCGTGAGAGAAAACGCTCATTGAGCGAGGCGTGAGCAACCAAAACAAAAACAAACATGGAGAAGGGGTTATTGGAGAAAAAAATCTGTGTATATTGACTGTTGCAGCTGCTGTCCGCCACTTTGGCTGGGCTTGGAGTCTCTTGGGTGAATATTCACGGCAGCCTTCTCCTCTATGCTGGCAGTGGCTGATATGGACCCAAGAAAATGAGGGAGCAGTAGGGCTAAGAAAAGAGCAAGTTTAAAAGTAATTCAAATAGACTTTCCAATCAATTGTTGTTTTATTTTTTTTTTGTCAGCAAAGCTGTGTTCAAAATAGCATAATTTGTACTGCATACTCAACATTGTACATACTGTATACTGTGCTGCTCTTAATCAGTAGTAAACAGTAACTATGCAGTAATTTAACTTTTATTAAATTGATGAAGTAAGCAAACCCACCTCAAGACCAGGGGAAAAAACTGATTGAGTGCAGCAGCATTTGGACAAACTGTTTTCTTTCATTTTGCTGTCATTCATGTATCCGTATAAGACTGAATCCAAGGATTTTCGGGGCTGACCGGCTGGATTTGTCAGTGGTTACATTCTGTTGAAGTGACCGCTTTGCACACGGCATACTACTTACTACTTTTGGACACAATCTGTTCATGAGCAGTATGCAGCAGCCTGTTTTGCCCAAGTTTCTCAAGCTCCAGTTTGGCATATGATCGACACTTCTCACAATTTTTTTCACAAGTCAGTGGAATTAATGAGGCGCGCTTTGTCTGATTTTTCCAAGTAAAAGTTCATGTAGTGTCTTAGCCTTGTGCGCGGTCATTTGTTAGTGTACCGCTGCATTAACGAACAGGTCTCAAGCGATAAATGTCATGTGGTATGAGCAGTATAGCAATTTTGAGACAAAGGTCACTTGGCATTTGCAGTGTTGTGTAGTCCAGGACAAGACTACAATTCAGGTCTTACTTCCTATCACTCTCAGAGATGCTACTGCAGATGTAGACCGGAAGCGCAAAAGAGCCCCTGAGGACAAGAGCAAGTCTTCTGAAGAGGAGGACGAAAGGAGAGCAGATGGGAGGAAAAGAAAGGACGAGAGTAAAAGTGGAAAGAGAGAACCGGAGGCCAAGAGGAGAAAAAACGCCAAGGAGGAGGGCTCCTCTGACTCTGAGGATGAAGCGGTATGTCTGTGCTCTTCATATAATAGAGACTTTAAGCAACAACATCAGCAGGGATGGCTACAGCAGCCAGAACAAAAAGTGCTGTTCTGCGCATACCCAAATTTGATTCTGCTCGTCTACAATGTCGGATTGTTAATTTTACATTTTAATTGTGGGTTTAGTTAAAATTTTATTTGTACCATGTAATAACATTCTTTTAAGTTCAGCACTTTTTTTTTCCAAAGACACTAAGTTTAGTTTTATTTTTCCATTTTTCTAAAGATATTTCTTCAGGTAAGCAAAGACTGTCATGCCATGTTAAGAGCTGTTAATTAGTGACTTTACATGTCAATGCATAAAGTCCCAAACATCGTAATGGATGGGGTGCTAACCACTTTCAAGGATATTCCATGGTATAAAATCCCATCACAATCTGACCATTTAAGATTTTTTGTGACCAAAACAGTGGAATTAAATAGCTCTGCTGGAAAGCATATATCAGAACAATATATGTTAAATAATTATAATCTGAACAGTAAAATGTGCTGGTAAAGTACAATGTTATACTTATGAATATTTAATGCCAGTCACAGTGTTTGAGAATGATGGATTGCTTGGCAAACTGATACATTTTTGGTCATATATTTGTTGTTGTGCAAAAATGTGTTATCACATGATGTCCCATGTTAAAAAAAAAAAAAGGCCACGTTTGAACATATACATTTTGTGTCATTGCCAAAGCTAACACTAGAGCTAGTCAGTGCAGCATTATATACTGAAGAGGACTCATTTATCCTGGACGTGAGGTGTTTTAAAGAGCCTTAATGAAACGATCTAAATTATGGCACTTTACTGGGGCTATTGCTAAATCCAAAATTGAGTAATCTGTCAGTTATTTTGAGGATTAATCGAATGATCATAACAGCAAACATTTCATTTTACTTCGTATACATAAAATTTGTAACTACAAACGTGCACATTTGCAAGATCTTGCTGGTGTGTTGCTTCTTTTCCAGTGATGCACATAGCAGCAATTTGAGTGCTAATAGCTCATCATTGTGGGAATTTTCAGACCGCTGAACACAACTTTGTAATGACTTGTGGATTCATCATTCAAACTGAAAAGTAAGGCTAATTCACCTAACCTAAATTTCTAAAAAGTAAGTGATTTTAATTGAGTGGTCATGATAGTCCTGCACTATACAGTGTGTTTTATTCTAACTAATTTATTAAGCTAACTGTCAACAGATAAATTAAGAAAAGCTAACTGATCTTAATATTTTTCTTATGTTGCTAGACATTATATTAAAATTATTGTTGGCAAGTACAGTAATCTAGATAAAAATTCTAGGCTAAAGATTTATTATCTAAATACAATTCCATGTGCATGTTATTAATGTCAGCTCTGTTCCGATCAGTAAATTTACCCATTTCTGGCTTTAACCATGCCCACGGTTTGTTTGTAATTTTAAACAAAGTATCAAAAAAGTATAATTAGGGAATCTGTATCGAAGACAAGGTATGGGTATTCGTATTGGTGTAGGTATCAGAAAAGTTTTGAACAAACCCCAGTCCTATTCGTGACTGCCAAGTTATGTGTTGGATTTTTTTATTTTATTTTTTTTTTTTTATGTTAAAGAAGTGGGTGATGTTATGGCGCTAAAGTCTGGGAAGTAAAGTCTGTTGAAAGAGACTAGGGAAGCACTAAACTGCGCTGTGCAGGAATCCCTCAGGACTAGGACTGAGAAGCAGTGTTAAAGTGTTTAAGGCAGCTTGCCCTGAAGCGAAAAAAGCAGAAACCCTTCAGACATGCGCTACAAAGCTGGAATCCTGATGTGAACGTCTTTCGGTGTATTTATTGATTCGTTTACATCATTTTTCCAATAGGTTCTGAAAACTTTATTGGTATATTCGCTCAGCAACTTGGATATCCTTGGCATACAACAAATAGAGAGAATAAAACAGTCCTGATAATGTGTGTTTGTTGTGTTGAATTCTGAGCAGAAGCGAAGTGGACAGGGCAAGAAACGGATCCTGAAGCAAGCGGACACAGAGAAGGAAGAGCGGCGCCGCAAACCAGATGAGCTGAAAGAGTAAGACAACCTAGAGCTGAGCACACATACTTTCCACACTCACAGATCGTTTCTTAAATCTCTGATGTGTGGGCATTTTCACATGGCCCTAATAGAAGTCCCCTCCTAGTACTCAAGACCAGTTTTGAGGAGGGACTCTGCATAATTGTTGACAGTTCCTACATAATTTCATTGTTTTTTTTGATAAGCTATAAATGTCATTCCAAGTGGTTTGATATGAAATAGTTAATTTTAGACAATATTACTGACTATGATTTCTTCACAGTGGTGGTGATAGAAACCAGGGTTCACAATATCAACAATAAATGTCACTATTTACTATCCAAAACCACAAGTAAACTTATAGCTGTCTTCTGGAGTTTTATATTTACTGTTAATAAAGGTAAAATAGTGGTAAATCTTAAAAAATAAGTTTTCTTTGGAAACTGTTCTGCCTTATAGCACCTTGCATATAACACTGCATAAATGGATTTTAAAAACATGTTTTAATGAATTACTGAATTAATATCTCAGGTATCAGGCAGCATATTTTAAGCGTTTGCTGTAATCATTTTCTGTGAGGGAGCTTTTAGAGGCAAACTCAGATTCAGATCTCTGGTTCCCACCACCACTATGAACAATTCTGACTTAGCAAGTTTCTCTAGATCTCAGCATATACAACAAATCACTCTGAATGATTGATCTCATTTGAACCATTTAATAAAAAAAAAAAAAGGGAAGAATTCCAGTCTTGCTAATTTTATCTAACTTCACTTTCTTGCAGATTAGGAAAAGAGGATGGGAAGAAAGATGAAAGGAAAGGAGAGAAAAGAAAGGGTGAGTTAGAGAGCGAATTATGTCTGTAGTGTTCATTTACATATTTCAAGAAGCTAATGATAAATAAGACGGGAGTCGTTTCTATACTACTAGTGATTGTTGGCTTGGTTACTAAAGTGCCATGGAAAAAGTATTTGCCCCTAATTACTTCTATTTTTTCATATTTGTCACACTTGAATGTTTCAGATCATCAAACTATTTTTAATATTAGACAAAGATAATCTGAGTAAACACAAAATGCTGTTTTTAAATGATTTCGTTTATTTAAGCAAAAGTGCTGCTCTGTCCTACCCAGCCCTATGTGAAAATGTAACTGACCCCTTAGCAACTAAATCAACCAGTTATCTAAATTCAGTTGACTATTGGGTTCAATTTCACTAGCCACATCCAGGCATGATTACTGTCAGACTTGTTGAATCTAAACAACACTTAGAACCTGTCTGACAATGTGAAGCAGGCTCAAAAAAAGTCCTCAAAAAGCAGTGCATAATGCCACATTCTAAAGAGACTGAAAAATACAGATTTGAAACAAAGTCATTGAAATCTAGTCTGGCAAGAGTTACAAAGCCATTGCTAAGGCTCTGAGACTCCAGTGAGCCACAGTGGCTTTGTTTACATGCAAAGATTTTTGCCAATCCGATTGAATACAATCCGATTACAGATTCAGACTGAGGTGTTTATATGCACACTCTGTTCAACAATTTGATGGAAAATCTTCGTTTACATGAGCACTACAAGTAATCTGATGCAAAATGACGCGCATGCGTGGAGTAGCGCTTAGAGTAAACGTTACCATGACAGCGAACATCATGTGAGGTCCAGTCCGAGTGAGATGGGTTTCCAGTTGGCGCGCTTGTGTTTTAATTGCTTTAAAATGATGTAAAACTCAGGAAAATGTGCTTCACATGCACTTATAAAGGAAGCGGCGAGAGGAAGACGTCGTGTTCTGAGACTCATAAGCTGAACGTCCGTCCCACCGCCGTCTTTTAAAGACCAGAGCATAAACTTCGTCTCCTCCGCAGACCAGTTTCTGCTCCGCCATGTTGAGCGGTATAAACGTTCGCCATGACGCGACGCACATGCGTAGAACATGCTCACACATTCCAACTGGGATGTAATCGGATTCAGGCGTTTACATGGCTATTATTCTTCTATTTAACGGATTATTTAGAGGTTTACCCACCTCGTTCAATCGGATAGAAATTGTATTCCGAATGGCCTCAATCGGGCTAGACTGTTCCGATTGAGATGTTTACATGGACGTGTTCTATTCCGATTGAGCTATTAGTCGGATTATTAACGGATTATCAGGCTGCATGTAAACGTGGCTAGTGAGAGCCAATATCCACAAATGGAGAAAACCTGAAACAGTGGTGAACCTTGCCAGGAATGACCAGCTTAACAAAATTTCACTGAGAGCGCATCAACGACTCATCCAGGAGGTCACAACAGAACAATAAGAAATACATTAGGCAAAATGACATCCAAGGGAGAGTTGCAAGGTGCAAACCACAGCTGACCATAAAGAACACAAAGGCTTGTCTCACATTTGGCAGATGACCCCCAAGACTTTTGGGGTAATATTCTGTGGACGGATGAGTCGAAGGAGGAACTTTGGTGGCAGGCATGGGTCCTGTTACATCTGGCGTAAAGCTAACGCTGCATTCCACCATAAGATCATCATACCAACAGTCAGACATGGTAGTGGTAATGTGATGGTCTGATATAGGTTTTGAATAAATCTTTGTCTTCAGTAAATGAATGATCATTTAAAAGCTGCGTTTTGTGTTTACTTGTTTTGTTTTTATCTTACAATAAAATTAGTTGAAAGATAAATATTTAAATGTGACAAATTAGCAAAAAGAGAAGAAATTGGGTGAAAGGCATATACTTTTCACAGCACTGTATAAGAGATTTTTTTTTTTCAGGCCTGTATGCTTTTCTTGTTCTCAACACAGAAGTGTCAACTGAGTCCAGGCTGCTGAGATTACACGGGGAGATTAAGATTTCACTGAAGATCGATAACCCAGTGAGTGCAGATTGTTTACATCTTCACTACTTCAGTCTTTGTGGGCCCTCAGCCAGTTCACACTGTTGTTAAGCTTAAGCTCTCCATATATGACAGCTATTAAGGCTTCTGCAGCCCTTGACTTCCAGCCTTGGATTTCCAGCCTTAGGCATGCTGGGAACTGGAAGAGAACAAAAATAATAATAATAATGTGCTGGGAGTCCACAAAAACTGGACAGAGAGCCTCAGAGTTAGAGCCATATGTATTAAAACCCTTTCTTGTGGAAATATGTAATTGAAGGCAACTTCATTCTACTGTGTGCTGGGCAATAGTGTGAACTTGTGAATTACATTTCTTCTACATAGGCTTCTCCCATTGTCACGAGTTCAGTGCAACAACAAATAAGTTTGGTTATATGTTTAATGCATACTTCAATGTAATGAGGTTTGTGTTGAGAGAACTTAGTTTATTAGTGGTGTAACAAGTATCTTTCAAGGTGAGGCTCACAGTTTTATACTTTTAGGCATTGAACAATGCATGCAACAGACTAGGTTAAAGCTAATTTTAGAACTCCTTGTACTGTCTGAAGTAGAAAAAAAAAGTAAGCCTACAATAAGGGCAGACCATCCCTCCTCTGCAAAAGCTGCTTTCTCTTTGTAATAATCGAACACTGAGTGAACATTTGCACACCTCATAAGCACATATTAGCTTGTAACTAGCGTATTAGCTCGGGACTTGATCACAAACTCATAGCTGGTGAAAGGGTGAAAATATATTTCTCTGACATGCTAACGTGTTGAGACATTGCCCACTGAAGATGAAGAAATACCTGTAGATACACTGTGTCGTACTGCTTAGCTGTAGCTTTAGCTCATTAGCTCATTCGGTGCAGTTTTTATTATTATTACGTATTCCACATGACAACCTATTATTTTCCTTTGGCTGTTCTTGAAAAATAAAACGTTTTCAAAAGTTATTCCTGATTCGTTCACAATGATATTTTACTTAACTGTTTATATTTTGTGTTTTGCAGGACGTAAAGAAGTGTTTGGTGGCTCTGGATGAACTGGGGTCACTGCAGGTCACCACGCAGCACCTGCAGAAGCACTGTGAGCTCATAGCCACTCTGAAAAAGGTACATTTCTGGGCTGGAAGCTTCCTCTTGCCAAACTGTAAAAAAGCCTTTCCTGATCAGGTTTTGACTAGCATCAGTGTGGAGATTTGATTTATTTATTTATGTATTTATTTAGTTTTGTGCTATACAGTCACGTTTTGCATTAGCGTATCTTTTATTCATGGTGAAAACAGTTTAGGATAAAGTCAGATAAAATCAGCTTAGATTGAGTTTACAGTAATAATTTTTTTTCTACGTGTCTTTCCAGATCCGCAGGTTCAAGGCCAGCCAGGATGTGATGGATAAAGCCACAATGCTATACAACAAGTTTAAGACCATGTTCCTGGTAGGGGAGGGAGAGGCTGTACTGAGTCAGGTGCTGAACAAATCCTTGGCTGAGCAGCGGCAGTTTGAAGAGGCCAAGAAGGGGGCACTAAAAAAAGCAGAACAGACCAAAGAGCAGAGCGCAGGTGAGGAACACTGCAGTTCTTGCTCAATTAGATTATGATTCTTTAGGAAGCAATTCAGTGCCTCGTGAAATTGCAAAGTTTACCACAATTCGGTTATGTTGATTAGGTTCAGAATTATTTTTAAACGTGGAGTAACTAATTACACAGTAGACAATTAAAACAATCCACCAAACTTTATTTTCATGATTGAAAACAATCCAAGAATATGTATTTTGTCCAGAAATTACCGCATGCTTTATTGAATTCCATCAATCATGGTCAGTTCTAACACTCTGAAATAATGCTGCTGAATCAATACATTTTTACATCCCTGCATCCTTAATCAGATGTCATCAGATAAAGGGTCACTCAACACCTAACCTCTGCTCTGATTTTGTTCCATTTATACTGCTGTCTTCCACTCATTCTAAGCCATGTTAGCAATTGTATGTACTGTATCTTCCATTTTTTCCTCCATGACAGAAGCTATAAATAAATATACTGGATGCATTTTTTTTATTATTATTATTATTATTATTATTATATACTAGCATTTAAAAGTTGTATTCACTTGTCCTATTAGCATTTTTTGTTTTATATACAATACTCACTTGGAATGGGGATTTAAATATTACAAACTATTTGCCAAATGTGTTTGGTATGTTTTAAGCAACATTTCAGGGATTTTGGAATGAATAATACATATTGTGTAATTATCTGTTCACATTTATTTATTTTCAAGTTATCTGCCTTGAGCTTTGATCTTTTGAAATAAGATGAATTTTGCATATCCATTTTATTAAAACATCCTACAGCTTTCTCGGCCATTTTAGAATCTTCTACAGCTCTGGTGGTCATTCTGGACACACTATTTATTTATTATTTACAGATGTTGTACAGATCTAACATATTAAAATAATTATATACATTTATCCGCAACCAAATATATTATTGTTTTTAGTAGTAGTAGTGAATATTTTTTTTATAATTTTTTTTTTGTTTAACCAACATTACCTGTTTCTCCACAGATAACAGGGTTTTGAATGGAGACTCCAGCCCTGAGGAGAAGAGCACTGAGGCTGAGACTGAAGGAGAAAGGCCTGGAGAGGACAGTGCAGCCTTGGAGAAGAATAGGTGGGGATTTCTTCTCAGTTTATTCCTTTTTATTTCCTTTTTATTTCTCTTTTACATTGATGAACGTACATTCATATTAGTTCATTCTTATTATGTAATGATTCAAATCTGAGGAAGTGAAGTCAAGTACCTGGCGTTGAAGGGACAGAAAGGTGAAATTAAAACTGTTCTGTGGTGTTTGGATCTATAGCTTGATTGGCTAACTTAGTTAGCTTAGCGAGCAGACCTGACAGTGCCACACACCAAAGTACGTTTTATTGATAATGATAGCTTACCAAGTAGTGCCGCACACCACATTACTGCCCATCCCTAGAGTGTTTACACACAGATACAATGTATGTACTTCAGTTTTGTTTCTGTGTGTGTGTAGTGGGATAGAAACTGCAATAAACTGTTCAAATGTGTATAGCGTGCTCCTGTCTCTCGGCTTTAAACTGCTGTTACTGCAAACACCAGTTTGTAAAGTGTAAGCAGCGCAGAAAAGCCAGTAAAGCAGAACCTTTTCCTTTTACACCAGTCATGACTCATGTGTTAAAAACTGTCATGAGAGTGTACTTTGCACAAACAACAAAAAAAAATAGACTTGTGATAGCTGCATTAACACATTTTACATGCTGCTAGTTTGCCTTAACATAAGGCAGCTAGCTCAAACACCCTGAAACACTGCCATTGGATATTTTATTTTCCATTTTACAGTAGACATTTAGACCATTTCAAATGTCTGAAAGCACACCTCGCTGCTGCAGGTTATAGATAATGTTTGAGTGGTGTGAATAGAGCTGTAGATTAGGCTTAATAGCAAATATCAGATCCATTACAGTAGGCCTGCACCCAATCTTAATTCTCTCCCTCTCCATCTCCCTCTGCACGCAGTGTTGTGAACCCAGCAGAAGAGTCAGCCTAACGACAATGCACCTTCTGTCAGTCCTACTGCTTTTCTGTGGAAACTCTTCACTGTGGGATGGAACCATAACTTCTTTGCTTCAAAGTGCGAAGGTCACCTTGTATCTGCATCCCCAACAGTGGCCTCCTCATCTTGAAGCATCAGAGTTTAAGGGATTTGCCTGTGTTTTAGTACAGATGTTTTTAGTGCCAATGTGTGCATTTTAGCTCTGGAAGTGTTTTCAGAGTCGTGACGTTTCAACACATTAGCCTTTTTCTAGTGTTTTATAGAGTAGACAGTACCACTTGTCTGAGAGTTTATAACTGTCTGCATAGACAAGCTGTTGTAGCTGAGGGGCGCATCCCCATTTTGACTGACTGTTGATTTGTGCTGTTTTTACTGACTAAATCATTCCAAAGTAAATCCTCTGTCTTTTCAAGCTGCTAGAAGGAAGTTGGAGTAGCTACCACAAAATCTGAAGTGAAGCAGATAACCTGTGAATTAGGGCAGTATTTCTCAACCCTGCTGTGCGTAAACTGCTGTCATTAGTTTTAAAGGAGTAGTCCAGCATTTCTCAACCTAATATGTTCAGGTTCTAACATACCTGAATCAAATCATCAGCTTATTATCAAGCCCTGTGTAAGAGAACATAAACAGAACCAACTTGTCCATGTAAGAGAAACCATTGGGCATTTGCTGCAGTATCTGTTATTGCCTTTTGTAATTAAAATTATTGAACTTGGTATGATACAAATACGGTAGTTGGAGATCAGGTTTAAAATATTGGAGTAATCCTTTAACCCTTTTAGTCAAAATACATTTAAAATAAAAGCTGTTGAGCAGTTGCCAAAGCATCTTCCCATTGTCCTCTGTTAAGTGCATTTAGAGTCAGCTGTTTCTTTTTTTTTTTCGCTGTTTTATTTTTTTGAATTTGTATGTGGCAGATAGAGATCAGATTGAAAATTACAAGAAAACTTCTTTAACATACCTAATTCTGCCCACAAAGGCCTTCATAGTTAGCTGGTGATTTGAATGTGTTAGAAACTAAACTGCACAGTGCACATAGAGGTCTGGAACTAAAACATTGCTTTAGATAGAGATTTTCTGTCACTAATTAACCGATATTTGTGGTTTATGTCCTGATTACATGCTTCAGTATTCTCTTATGCTGAGTAGAATAGTTTTATTTTAGTATTTCTAACTGCTGCTTATACGTCTTCTGTTTCCAGATAGATGTTCCAAAGTTTATTTTGATACTAAAGTGCTTCCTCTTTTTGTTTCTCTTGTCTACATGTCTGTCTGTCTGTCTGTTTTAAGCTATCAGTGTTGTTGTCTGTGTAAATAAGAGAACTGTATTTTTGTGCCTGTTTATAAAACCTGTTCTGGCCTTAATAAAGTAGTGCTTGCCTCAAGCTCATGTTTTCACTGTGAATTATTTGATAGAATGAAATGTTTCTTTTAACCCTCAGTTGTAGTGCTTGAGGTCCTCCTACACTACAGTTTTGAGTCACATAATTATCCCCTTATCAACTGACCAGATTCTGAAACTAATACAGATATTAGTAGTCTTAAAACTGGTCCTCACTACAGGAGGCTTGAGCCAGTTTTCACCCTTCCAACAATTGCAAAATGCATCCCGATTTCAGGCTGGTCTTAAACAATTTTCCCAGATTGTTATCCTGTGGTGTGGGGTGTGTATAACTGTAAATATTAAACATGTTCAATATTTTTGACTCAGCATCCTGTACTGTGGGGGAACAGTGACTGTCTCGTATGAGAAAGTGGTGTCAAGCATGAAAGACCTTCAACCAATGACAAACAAGCTGGGTCACATTTCGATTTTTCTTAATATGCCCTCGCCAACTTGTTGACCAGTTTATCTGTTGTGACCTGCCAGAACATTCTCTGATACCACGCAAAGAACAGCTGACCAAGCTGACAGATAATGTGGGCCAACAAGCTAATGGTAAATACATCAATGATACTCCAGTTTCTGTATTATAATGTGATTTATATGATACAAACCAATCAGCCATAACATTAAAACCACCTTTGTATTTCTACATTCATTGTCCATTTTACCACGTATCACCTTATTTCCACTTAGCATACAGGATCACTTTATAGTTCTACAATTACAGACTGTAGTCCATCTGTGCATACTTTGTTAGCCTCCTTTCACTGTTCTTCAGTGGTCAGGATCCTCACAAGACCACCACAGAGCAGGTACTATTCTAGTGGTGGGTCATTCTCAGCACAGCAGTGACACTGACCTGGTGGTGGTGTGTTAGTGTGTGTTGCGCTGGTATGAGTGGATCAGACACAGCAGTGCTGCTGGAGTTTTTCAACACCTCACTTTCACTGCTGGACTGAGAATAATCCATCCACAACATGCTGTTGGCTGGATATTTTTTGATTGGTGGACTCTTCTCAGTCCAGCAGTGAAACTGAGGTGTTGAAAAACTCCATAGTAGTCCCTCCACGTCACACAGCCTGCTGAAAAAAAACATAGAAACCATTAAATGTTTCTGGTTATTCCTGTTGGCTGTGTAATGTGATTTGTTTTTAATAGATGGGTTGATGTCACAGTGTAAAATAACCCAGATAATTCTAGACGCATGCACATGTATGTATGCATATGTAATGGTAGTCCATCTGTTCTAATGGTCTATTTTCAGCAGAGTAGACACACAGAAGGTGGACTCTTGAAGCCCAGTTGATTCAGTTAAAGAGTTTCGTAAGTAGATCAAATCCTGAGTAATATTAAATATATTTAATTTAATTATTTAATCTAAAACCTAAGCATCTAAACTGGTGTCATTTTAAAAAAAAAATGGGTGCAGTTGCATGCCTTGTCCAGCAGATGTTGCTAACGTGCCACATTTCGAGAGTTAAGCGATAATCATTTTCTCAAGTGACTGATTCAGTTGGTTCAAAGCTTCAAAAAGCCTTAAGTGTCCCTTCACTGAGTACGTCACACCTCTAACCTGATACCGTTATCAATTTTACCATTTCTTCAGAGCAGCCTATGGGGTTGATCATGGCTCAGTCTTAAACAGTCATAATTTATCCTAAATAAAAATTCAGTACAAACTTATTATTGTTTAATTATTGTTTGCCTTTACTTTTGGCATTTTAGGATATTACAGATGGCCCTTACATAAAGTACTTGCAGGTAACTTCCAAACTGACCACATGCAAAATTATAATTGACACACCGCTCAGCTAATCACAGTGGTCTCTAAACGCTCCTCTATCAAGCAAAGGAAAAGCTCTAATAAACTCTTCAGAACTGACTAGGGGTGCGGGAAAAAATCGATTCTTAGATGCATCGGGATGCGGACGTGAACGATTCTGAATCGATTCACAAATGTCAAAAATCGATTTTCTAAATATTTAATTTATAACGTAACGTTGACGGAACGCAAAAGGCGGAACTTGGAAGTGGGTAAGTGCAGCGAGGCGCCGAATGTAAATGCGGTACTATTTAAGGTGGAACGGGACAATTCAAAAGAGAAACTGACTTCATCTTCGCCACTTTTTAGTGTTTGACAGTCTCGTTGGAGATTTAACGTACCAGGAAACCAACTGCGGTGCTTATAAATGCGAATAACACATCGCTGCTATGCGACCTGCAGTCTGCGGAGTCGTTGCGAAACAGGGCTTTCTCGCTATGTTGCACACGACCCGTCTCGAAGATATTTCACTGACACAGCGACCCCGCCCCCCTCCCGTCTGTACAACGAGACCAAAGTCATAAAGTCACTAAAAACGGGTAGGACGGCTGTAACATGTGCTGCGTGGTCATCCATAACCACAGGATCTTATTTCACCGTAACTGCGCATTTTATCGCAGATGAGATGACTGTCCTGATCAGTTGGAGGACAGAGTTGTTTTTACTTCATTTCTGAAGCTGAAAAGTTTGGGATTAATCTATGTTGAAGACCAGACACAGTGGTTCAGTATCTAAACTATTAACAGAAAAAAACATATCCTGGCTCTAAAGTAAGCTCAACTTTTTAAATAATGTTACAGAAAAGTGTTATCAGTTAGCTAAGTACTTAGCATCTAATTTATCAGCTTGATAAATCAGTCAGATTAAACAGGACTATACAGCACTCACATCTATGATTAAAAAGATTAAAATGAATGCACTTGCAAATACTTTGTACTGATTCATCAAAGTTTGCTAAAAGGTCTTGTGTAACAGACAGGAGTGTACTTATGTTCCCAGTATGATACATAAAGGGTATCTATGACAGAGTTCCCAGGGTCATGGTTAATGTCATGGGGTCATCTGAAGTCTTACAAGGAAAAAAATCGAGCAGATTTTTCAATATGAATGCATTTGCCTTCAGCTAGCCTCAGTGAACTAATTAGCTAGCTAAGCAAACTTCAAACCATTATTTGAGAAATCAGAGTGTAGCATGCGTTAATTTTCTGTATAATTGCTTTTTCAGGTTTAAGGGAGAGTGCACTGACCTTTTTTGTTGTTGCTAGTTGTGTAGCCCTAGCTCGCTAGCTAGCAAGTTAGCAGAATGAAGTAAGATCCTTGGGATTGTATAAAGGGAAATGGTCAGGCTAAGTTGACAGGAGCATGTTAAAACAGTACTGAAACGGAAGCTGGATGTTGAGGATGTGTTCAGGGATTCATTGTTAGCATGAATGCCAAATCTGGAAATTTGGTATTTGTGAAGATCAAATAAAATTATGAGTAAAACTTTTAAGTGCTGCCTGTCACTGAATAGATTCTAATTCATGTTCAGTCCGAGTTTGTTTTAATAAGAGACTCAGTTTGGAGACCACATGCACATAAAGACAATTTAGATTTTATTTACTGAACAAATAACATCTGAACATGCACTCAGATGTTATACATATGTTACTTATATAGTTAGCTATGATGAGGAAACATGATTGAGGTAATATGGGAACATAGAGCTATTTCCCATGAAAATTTCAATGTGGGAACATAGGGCCTGAATATTCGGAATATTCCTAGAAATTTAAATGAGAAAAAATAAAGGCCCGGTAAACATAGTATCTTGGGAACATAAGGCCAGAGGAACAAAAGGATGACCTCTAACAGACGAGTCCTCCTCAGCATCTAATGTTGCTCTGCCTAGCTTCAGGGTTAGCTTTAGCATTAGCTGACCTGAAAGGGTAGCTTCCATTGCTAAAACATCCTCCTTACTGGACATGAAAACCTTTCGTTTTAACATTACATGACTAAAGGATTTCCTTGGTTCAGTTAATATAAATATATTTTACACTATCCTTTTTTGTGTGTTTGCTTTTAAATTGGCCAACATTCATAATTTTGTCAGTTCTCAAACATCTTCATTGAACATATCATAATGCCATTTATTTTTGAAAGAAAAATGTTTTAGATGTACTCTACTGTGTGATTCAAAATTTTCCTTTGCAAAACTGAATTTTTCAGTCAGTTAGCGCAAGTGTTATGGATGACCAGATAGTCTTAACTGAAAGTTTGACATACGTAGCAACAAGAACTAAGAGAGACAGCGCTTTATTAGAATTTTTCTAAGAAATGTTCAGTGTGTCGGAACAAAACCTTGTGTCTCTAAATGATAACTTCACAGGAGAAGGAAACAACTTACTTTTAATGTAAGCCAATGGATCATCTTGGGTCATTTCTTTTGGTCCATTCCTCATGAAATGTACACAGAATGTAAAGAGCAACAGGCATTTTCAAATTTTGTCAAAAACTGGAAAATGACAAAAATGGAGATATGAAGTTTTGTTCCAACAGTAATGCATTTAGAATCAGCCATTGCAGGTAGCCTGTTAAACCATTAGGACCTTTTAGATCATGATTTCAACCCATTAAAAATACCAGATACCACACATTGCAAAACCGGTAAGAACTAACAGAAACACAAGGTTTCCTTTGGGTTTTTTTTAGCAGGTATCTAGTATAACAGTGATGGAGCTAGGGTGGTGGTCATTAACGGTAGCTATACCTACTTTTTAGGTTTCTTAGAAAAACACTTTTTGATATCTCTGTTTAATTCTGTGGTGTTGTGTTTCAGCACTTTGTCATTTCTCTAACCAATCTGCAATACCACAAACCTGGAATATCATGACTGTAGTGTATTTACTGCATCAGCCACTAGGGGACAGAGCTACAACATCAAACACTACTTTACCTGTGACTATTAAAGTACTGGTCAGAGGTGACACATTGCTTTAAACAGTTGCAGTGTAAATGTAAAAAGTTACAGTGTAAAGTTAACTAAAACTTCACTGCTGACTTCACCTTGTTACCTGTTTTCTGATGCTGACAGTGCAGGTTTATTTCAGTCTTCAAGATAGTTGCTACTGCTGTTTTTAGCCCTGTGTACTGTCTATTTTTATCAATTACTGACTCATACATTATCAGACACCACA